TCTCAGTTTTTGATGTACCACATAGGCCGTAATTAGTTTCCATGAATTTTATTGAAATTCCTCCTATGGTTAAAAAATATTTTGCTACCAGACAAAAAAGGTTGATTGCAACAGTTAATGCCAGAGTTTTTGCCGCAGGCACTGCACAACTGTTCGCCCTCAAAATATATGTTGGGGACAACACTCAGCTACTACCACATCAAATTTTATTTCAATATCTATAAAATTAGCTAAGTTGTAGCCATTTTGGGGTCTTGAATCAGCTTAATTCCAAAGTGTTGATCAATTTCAGATGCCAACCCCCGTAAGATATTTTGCTAATGGTACAGACAAACAAGCAGAAATTGTTGCAAAAACATTATTGATCCAGCAGCGGCAAATAACCAGTCTACGGTGGAATTAGTGGAAAAGGAAACCAAACCAAACACCGACAGATCAGCCACTGTTTTCACATTTACATTCAGAGTGCCCAGATCAGCACTGCAGCTCTCCAAGCACCATGAGTCAAAGTCAATGTGCATCCAGACTGAATAATGACTCATTAAACTAAAACTTCTGGGAGTCTTTGGTTATTACCGAGTTCATTGCCAGGGACAGAAAGTAATAAAGACCCCGGCCACGATCGATTAGAAAAAATGTCTGATGTGCGCGCTGAATGGCAACCTTTGTGTCTCGTGTTCTGTCGGGTTTATTTTGGAGCACGGGAAGTGTTGTCATTCAGCGAGCGACACCGTGGCGTGAACGAGCCGGCCGCAATGAGAGGAAAGGGGACGGGAAGGAGGCAGAACTGAGGGACGGACCGAGAGTGAAGAGCGAGGGTGGAAAAGTAGCAGAACAGCTTGCCAAGCGAGAGAGAGGGGCAGGGAGGGACTCGGAGCGAGCTGTAACTGACGCGGGGTGACAGCAAATGAAAGTGGATGAATACAAATGACCACGGGGGATAGGAGGGAGAGAGGGGTGAGAGGGAACAAGGGGTGAGAGAGAAGACACAGGGATCAGGGTGGCTCCAGAAATAGCTCATGGTTGTAAACACGGTTGTCCCTGGAACGTTCTGAAGTCCTGAATCTTTGAGTGGGGGAGTTCTTTAGCTGTTTAACAGCAAACAGATTTACAAAACATGATAATCACCTCATAGCCCGCCACTTTTTATGTCAGACTTTTAAAATTATGATCAGGAACTGAAGCTGAAACTAAACCAAATACCACAGTCCATAACTAAATCTAAACCTGACCTGAACTCAATTCACACTTAGTCTTAAACCTAACCCTCAACCCAAAATGGAGTTCCACCATATTAGGACAGGGCTTTGGTCCCATAAGGATTACTGGTCTTGAAAGGGTAGGTGTGTACACCAGAAACAGTCCTAAAAAGGTAACATACAAATATACACACACGTACGGTCTACTACAGCTATCTTTATGGAGACATTGCACTGACTTTCGTTAGTTTCTACAACCTAAACTTGAGCCCTTACCCTAAACCAGGGCTATTCAACTGGCGGCAAAGTTCGGCCCGCCAGTTGGTTCATTCATCTCTTAAGTCCAGATGCCCGGTTTTCTACTTTAATTACTATATAAGTTTTTTAGTTAAACATAGACGTGTTTAGTATCTACAGAAACTTAAGAATTTTGGCTATAAGCTGGCACGCTCAAGACATTTAAAACTACAAGCAGTTGAAGCTGAAACTATAAAAGTAAAAATAAAATTGGTTCAAAAGGTTGGCAAGTCAGAGATGTCAAGATAATGTTTGTGTTAAAGGAGACATGTGTTCTTTTGTTTTTGATATTGTTTAATCATCACCAATTTATACTGTAGAGTTCTGTATGTTTTAATCATAATTAAATACAGCAAAATAAACCATTTCAAAATAAACCATTTCTAAGGCAAAAGATCTTTATAATACTTGATTTATTTACATAATAATTTTAATTGCTGGGTGTTGGGCCCCTGGGCTGTTGACCTGCAGTAACTGTGGCCCCCAGAGCAATTTAGTTGAATAGCCCTGCCCTAAAACGCCCTGCCCTAAAACTAACCTAACAGGTACAAACCTGATCCTAAATCTTACCTAAACTCAATTCACACCTTAGTCCTAAACCTAACCTCTGACACACCAATGGCATCACCCCCCATAGGGACTTGGCTTAGGTCCCCATAAGTACCAGTTGATCCCCACAAGTGGATGTGTATGCCAAAAGTTGTGCCCACATAGTAGGGAATACCTGCCCGACAAAATCATCGTCTCTGTTGTGATGTAACWGGTATTGTGTTTGTAATGACACTCAGTTAAAATAATCAATAGCCCGTCAGTACTGATCAGCTTCCAAAAAACAATTATGTTTCACTACTCATGGTAATTCACACAACTGGTTAATACACTCACTGAGCAAAAATTCAAAACAATGAACTCAGTTTGCAGATGTAATGCAAAAGTGAAGGAGGATGTGGTTTACATAAGAGCAGATTAAAAAGGGCAGCAGTACCATAAATCGAATTGTTTGAGTTAAAGGTCATTTGGTAAGTAACAAAAAAGGGTTTTATTTAGAATATTTTACTGCTACAAGGCCAAGTTTAGTTAATCCTTTAAACAATAAAATGCACACCATTATCTCTATGGATTGAAAATGCACTACAAAGTCCATCTGATTCAGAGGATTACTTAAAAACCTGTAAATAGAAAGCCAGATCAACATAACAGACATTTTTAGTTAATAAAAACAATAAATAGGAGCTTTTGTGGTTTAGAAATTTGCATATGTGTTAGTTTTTATGCTAATCTCTTCTTAATCTCTGAAATCTGAGCCATTTAGTTTTTTATCTTACCAGCTGACATTTCTGACAGGAAATAAGGTTTACTGCACAAATAATAACTACTGCCACCTTTAGCTGCTAGGCTAAAGCAATCCTCAAAATGGGAATTGCCTATGGCAACATCAAAAAGTTATCAGACCAAACACAGCTTCCCCCGGAGAGACAAAAAATTAAAAAAATAAATAAAAAAGTAAATAATTCAGTGATGTTTTGGACTTGCCAGTTTATGGAAACAACTAGAGCACAGATGACATTAGCAAAACCACTGTCTCCAATTAAAGGGGGATATTGTTTATTTTCCAGGCATGTAGTTCAATTTTATACTACAACCAAGTAAATATGTTACCTTCATTTGTTATGAAAATGCTTTATACAACAAAAATACATTTGACTTGAAATAGGCCTCTGTCTCTTTAAGAAACTCCTACCATTTCAGACACTCCCACTTCAGCACATCTACAAAACAATGCTTTGAGGGAGGGGGGGCTCTGTGGGGAGGGAGGAGCTTTGTACAAATAGGCGGTGCTTTGTACCAGCAAGTGTTTAGGCAGCTCCACATGGCTACAGGAGATTCAAGGATTTCTGAAACATGCATGAATGAGTCAAAGCATCACTCTGTTTTTAATGAGGGAATGACATAACATGACATAAAGCTAAAATAAAATAAATAAGTTGACTTTGCATAATCTCCCCGCCACACACCCTTTATAAAAATCAATAGACAAGCTGAATTTCATTTTTATTTACCGTATTTTTCGGACTATAAGCCTCGACTTTTTTCCTGAACTTTGACCCATGCGGCTTATAGACCGGTGCGGCTTATACATGAATTTTTTTCTTCAGCCACCAGGGGGCTCTTATGCTCCATTTGCTTCAACCACTCGCTTCAAAAAAAGAAAGAAAAAAAGAAAAAAGCGATCGCTTCCAGAGCCGACTGGTGTAACAGGAAGCAGTGATTTAAAGATAGTCAATGGCCAAAAACTCATAAAAGGGGATAAAACAGACATTTTAAAGGGGGATAAAACAGACATTTTTCACGGTGGAATCTTACTGATAAAAACTTTGGAGCTTAATCCAGGACCAGTTTGTGGATAAACGTCGAGTGAAGAGCCGCGGACTTTTGTTTTCCTCATTGCACTCCCCGGGGAAGGAATCCCATGCAGTGACGTATGCTGGAGCGGGAGGGCTATCCCACCACAGCTTCAGAGCCAGCATTACCCCAGGAGGACAGCGACACAGAAAGCAACAAGAACAGATACCGCTGTGTGACGCAGCTTTTCTCAGCTTGTTTAACTCCGACACTGAAGAGGAGGACTTCGATAGTTTCAGTGTGCCGGAGGACGATGAATGAGACTTTTTGTTGGACCAGAAACTGTTAAAGAAAACTACCAAAATAAGGTCAATTATATGAACCATATTCCTCCGAACTTTAATTCCTAAAGGTTTGCTTTTTATGTTTTGATGTTGAATTCACTTTTTTGACGGCAAATTTGGGTGTACTTTTTTTTTTTATGTTGGGGGTGCGGCTTATACGTTAATGTTCACGGATTTTTTTTTTTAAAAATGGCGGGTGAGGCTTATAGTCCGGTGCGGCTTATAGTCCGAAAAATACGGTAAGTGAAATGTTTTATTTGCAGTTTTAAAGTGGCTGCTGCAACATAAAGAAAAACACTTTGATGCATAGATTTCAAGATGTCACATTTTTAGCTTCTAACTGATTGTAACTGTGCCTGGACCATACTAAAGTGGTAAGTGGACCTCTGGTAAGTGGACCTTCTGCTATAAGCAGGAAAAGAAAGCACAAACGTTGTTTCCAAACTCAGAGCCAATCAGCACCGAGTGTGGCCTCATTGCACCAGGAGGTAAAAATGAGACACGCTGCTATTTGAATCTGAAGAGTGAGCAAGACTGAATCTCAGCTGACCTTTCCAGGATAGCACAATAAAAGACGCAAACCAAAGAATTTTAATGCTCAGGTTTATTATTAAGTTATCTCAYTGCAGGAGTTGTGATTTTTCTGGCCTGATATTTTGCATGTAACTGAATAATATAAAAGAATGTTTTCAAAGAAAATGCAGAGAGATGAGGCAAGACAAAAAAAGGGTTTGAATAAAAAACAAAGGTCTCATCTTAAAACAACTAACATTACTACATACAAATAATAAGAATCTTAAACAGATCACTGTCTAAGGCAATGTAAATGAAGGTTATTTGAGCCGTTACAATACCTGAATGTTTCTGCTTTTAGTTACAAATAAGTCAAAATATTTTCCAAATGAACCAATTAGTAGTTTGCACATCAACAAAGAGGTGTGCCTTATATTTTCACACCAACTGAAACAAAACACTTCCCATCAGCAGATTCCAGGCAACGCTGTCACAACAGAGAGCCGATTGGAAGCCTGAACGACCAAGTGATGAACATGGAAAAAGAGATAAATGTGAAAAATGAGGCACAGTTTAATTTCTACTCATCTCATCAAAGAGTCATAAAAGGACTAACAGACATACAGTGTAAAGTATTTTTAAAATGTTATAATTTACTGCTTTATATCTTTCACTTTAATTGCTTTAAACATAAAAATGTTTTAATAAAACAGCATACATTGTTAATGGCAATCTGGGGGATCATGCTAATTGAAATTACAGGTTAAAAAAATAGCATCTCCTTTTTAACACTTGGAAAAAATGTTACACATTTTTCACAAATGTGTGGTGAAAATGAATTATAATTGCAGCTGAGAAGCAAAGCAGAAATGTGTTGTCAAGTATTGCCTAACTTGCCTAATTTCAAACTTTTCTATTAACTATTAAACTCTACTCTGTCCAATGGATGAATTTTCAGAAAGTATTTGAATGTACAGCTACAACTGATAAATGACATTGATCTGAAATGTGGAAGAACAGCAGCTGAGAGTCATCCCCAACACATACAACGAGCACCATAGGGTTAAATACTACTGGAGGGAGCCGCGCCTATCTCATCCTCTGGACAAAAATTGCATGCAAACAGGGCAACTAAAGCAACTATTTGATACGCCAACTGGATCTGTGGCACAAATTCTTTCTAATCTTTTTACAATCGTTTAATATAATTGTCAGTTATGCTAATTTCATTCATCATGTAAAACAGCTAGATGATATATGTAAAGGAAAATCTGCTTATTTGTGACATGAGACACGTTTTCCAGTTTCTCTTCTGTTAGTACATTTATAACACACTTTCTGACATTATTTTAGATTTATTAAATAGCTTATACACACTCCAATATATTAATATCTTCATTAATATTATTGTTAATAGTTTTTAAAGATTTTTACATAATCAGCCCTTATTGTTTGCTTGTTTGCCAATATGTACAACACTGCTAAATCCAGAAGCTTGCCCGTTCTGATTACTACATTAGCTCACACAATCATATGATCGAGACACACTCCTGCTGTTCTACATAACTTCATGACCCTAACAGATCACACAAGATGTTTCAATATTGAATGCGATCATGAATAAAATTATTTTCAAGATTTCACCTAAAACTCCATCACTTCTCAAGATTATCTTATTCAAATCTGTAGCATATAGTATGAAAGGCAACATGTGTCTTTAATAAATGACTGTATTGTTTTATATTTTTGTATACAAAACAAGCTTTTGAATTGTTTTGTTCCTTTTCATGGGTACATTTGTGTAAACAAGATGTTGATGCACAGTATGACTCTGAGTGCTTTTCTGTTTAAAACTTCTGACAGCAAGTGTTCCCATGACAAACTTGAACAGACTTGTGTGTTTTTTTTAATGATTTGTGAATAAACCAAGTCTATCTGTGATATTTAGTTCACAAGAGGAAGATAAACGGGACTAGGCCATGAAGTGTGTGTGTGTGAACGGGTTTTGGGAGGAGGGGGCCGAGTGGTAGCTAATAGTGTGAGTTACGCCGGCTGCCATGAGAGGATAATCCACAAAATGAATGAGCCAACAGGGATGTCTAGGAGAAAATAGGTTTTCTTCCACCCAATTTAGATCATTGTGTTCCTCCTGAGGCAGAAATATGATATAGTGATGTTCATCAGCGTTAACTCTTCAAGGATGCTGGAGTCGGTGCATGATAATATATCAGATATGCGGTATAAAGCCACACATGCCCACTGCAGCTAGCTTTACATCCTCGTGTGACGCCTATAGATACAAGGTTCCTGCTCTTTGTTTTTCCAGAGAGCATTGCAGGATCAGCTGCAGCCTTTGACTCCTTAGAAAGCAGCAGCATCCACTCCACCTCCCACTGCTCATCTACTCTGTTCTTCATTTAGGTTTCCCTCCCAACAAGCGCCCTCCTGCTCCTGTGGCCCCGGCAGATTTGACTGTATGACCGTGACCGAGTGTACAGTAGTGTGAAGGGAGGATAGGTGGGTGGGTGGGGAGGAGTGACGCTCTTTGTCCTCTCTGCAGTTGACTCTCCTCACTCCTCTTTTGTTCCCTTTAGGCAGAATTATGTTGTGTGACTTCCTGCACGTGACGTCGCCTCTCTCACATGTACGCTAGCCATCAGCAACCGCAGACTCATCTCTGCTTGTACCAGCTGAGGTCCAGATTTACACAAAAAACAGTCAGGAAAACACTCTGAAGTTTTAGTGTGAAATATGATAATATACGTAAATTGATAATGAAATATAGATTCTGGAAGATGCTCTAAAGACAAACAGGAAATTAAAACTTGTAACAATGGGCCTCATGCAAGAACATGTTCATATTCTTATCCTAAATTTCTCTTTTGTTCATACGAAGGGTTCGTACGAACATGCCACGTCAGATTCAACAAACTCTTCTATATTCAGGAAAAGTGTGGTGTGTAAATGAGCTGCGTCAACATGATGAATTCCACCTGTTCGTATCCAGCTGCTCGTGCACGAGGAGAGGCTATTTACATAATTACCACCCCAAAAGCACCATATAAGGCTGTGTTTCCTGCCTCAGATACCAGGAAGTGTCCATTTATGAAAATGACAGCGAAGTTAAAAAAAAAAACTTTACAAGTTCGGATAATAAAGTCCTGCTCTCCGAGATTGAGAAAAGAAAATCCGTCCTTTTTAGCAGCGTCAGTCGTGGAATTAAAGGCCCAGCCAAAGCCAAAGAATGGAATGAAATAACTACTACTGTTAATGTCGTGTCTCCTGTGGGTCGTATACAGTCACAGAAATAAAAAATCTAAATCATATTCATCTCTCTCTAGTCCAGCTCCGGTTTTTCCTTGGTCAAATATTTTTAATTTAAGTGTAACCAACTGTGTTACTGTGTTTACATTTATTCAGAGGAAGAGCGGTCGCTCACCGCTACCCCACCCCCCGCCTGGCCGTCTCCCCCCTACCGACCGTCGCAAATGTCAGCTGCGGTTCTGAAAAGATGCATTTCAAAATGTCTCCAAACTTCAATTAATGCATAATTTAAGTTGGTCTTTAGTTTGAGATCTTATTAATATTGTAGTGTCATACAACAGCATTAAAAGACTATTTAATTTAATCTAATCAATTTATGTCGTTAGTTACATTTAAAATCTAATTCCAGTTCAAACAGAATAACCTATTGTCAACATAATTATGGAGTGTGATTTATTTTCAACGTTATTACTGAGAAAAATCTGTCTGGATAACAGCAGACTGACTGCTCGTAAAATATACGACAGGTCTGGACCACTCGTGAATTTTGTTTGTATCTGAAAAAAAAATCTTAGAATACGAGAAAATTGTTGAATGCCACAAATTCTCCTAAATCACTCGTACGCACAACTTAAGAACAAATCTGTGCGTACGAACGGTTCTTGCATGAGGCCCATTCAACGTATGAAGAGATCATCTAACAATTTATTWAAAAATAACGAGTCGTGCCTGACTTCATGCATAAGATGCCACATTTGGAGTATGCGATAGAAATGACTCAACTACCACACCAAATTTTAGCTTAATATCTGTAAAATTTACTGAGTCATAACCATTTCTGTGTTTGATAGGGTCAATTAGAGGTGGCCCATTTTGAATTGGATTGACTCCAATCTTCAGTTGTAGATGATGATTACTTTCTAAATGAATAATTTAATAATTTAATAATAGACAAACCCTCACACACAGACAGGAGCAGACACATTACAGTCCGCCTTGGCCTTTCATAGACGGGCAACAGAAATAATTGGTGAAAAGACCGTAAACTGGATAGCACTGAATTTCCTGAGGGATAACAAGCCTCACAAATAGGCTGTCTACAAATAGACTTTTGCCAGGCTCGCTGTGTTCAATGTTAATGATTCCCTCAGTAACTTCATATTAAGCAGAGAAACATGAGGAGTATTGATTTTCTCATCAACTCGTAACAAGAAAGTTAAATTATAAGAAAACTGGAATAGGTCAAATGTTTTATTTATCTCCTTTTTTTTTTCTTCACAGCTTCTCTGAAAAGTTAGAAAGTTCACAATAAAAGCAGGTATGCAACCCAGAGAAAAGAAACTGGTTGTAGTTTAAAGTATAAAACAGAAACGTATATTTGTTTTTGTGATGAAAGGCTCATCATGCTGAAAATCAGCCAATTTGTGTCACCTGAGAATCAATTAGTAAATCATTACCAGTGATATCTGAAAAAGGCAGTCCAATGTCTGAATATCACACTTGTGTTTTCTGTGACATTTCTCATGAAATCCTTTCGGTTCAAGTCTGAACATCAGCAGTAACGTTAACAGACAGGTATGCCCTCCAGGTGTGGGTTAATATGATCTGGGACCATCTGGTAGGAAATCAAACACCTTGTACCATTAAAAAGTCAATAAGACAGCTGTCCAAACTTCCCAACTCAATGGTTCTCACTACAACAATTTGCTGATGCACCTTTAGTTTGACAGCTTCTCTGCCAAATGAACAAGAGTAAACTGTTCAAAAGAACTTGCCCTGCAGCCAGAGCTTCCGCACTCAGTCTGACTATACAATTTAGGCATATTTTCCAATGCCAACATTCGTCACCTTTTATGTGCAACAATGCAACATGCTCGTCACGGGTGGTGCTGCCATTTCTCAACTTGTGTTTTTCTTGAATTGATAACAGCTATGCTTTTCAATGGAGTGTGATGAATGTGATGAAAAAGTTACATTTCCCGCTACGTTGATCCATTCGCTGTTGTGCACAAATCATCGTAATGTGAATTGTTATGGCATGCTGAGAAAACTAGCACTCTACCTTTCTCCCTCATACATGAATGGCAAAGATCTTGCATGTGGAGAGCTTTCTGTCAGAACATTGCATCCAGGGAAGTAACCAATGTCTACAAATCAACTACAGTCACTTAAACACACTGGTTAAGCCATTATTGTCACATACCTTAAACTTGTAAAGCTGCCTCAGGCTGACCAATCAGCTGACCAGAAA